TGTTATCTAGAACACTGTCCTTTCTTACACTGTGTTTAACTCCTGCCTATATAAACAGCCATGTGTGTGTAAGAAAGAGAGGCAGAGAAAGCCCTGACAGGAGACTTCAAAGACAGTGGGTTCCAGGACCACGATAAACTTAGGAAATCAGTTTCCATGACAAAACAAAAATGTTATGCTGCAAATTACATGTGCACCTTCTTTTTTTAAATATATTTTATTAATTTTTTACAGAGAGGAAGGGAGAGAGATAGAGAGAAACATCGATGAGAGAGAAACATCGATCAGCTGCCTCCAGCACATCTACTGGGGATGTGCCCACAACCCAGGTACATGCCCTTGACCGGAATCGAACCTGGGACCTTTCAGTCCGCAGGCCGACGTTCTATACACTGAGCCAAACCGGTTTTGGCTGTGCACCTTCTTATACACTTCCCCCAAACAGAAGCTCATCAGTCTTCACAAATGGAAGGGAAAAGGATAATGCCATTTTTTAAAAAATAAAGCTTGAACCCTTTTTATTGTTTTAATCCTCACCCGAGGATATGTTTTTCTCATTGATTTTTTTGTAGAGAGAGAGGAAGGGAGGTAGAGAGAAACATCAATGTGAGAGAGAAACTGATCAATTGCCTCCCATATCCGGACCAAAGGGATCGAACCCCAACCTAGGTATGTGCCCTGATTGGGAATCAAACCTGTAACCTTTTGATGTATGGAACAATGCTCCAACTAACTGAGCCACCCAGCCAGGGCTGCCATGTCTATTTTTAAGGTGGGGAAACAGTCTGTGAAGGGGCTGTGACTTGCTGAAGCTGCATGTTGGGGCCGGACGTGACGGACAGGCTTCCTTCTTTCAGAAGCCGTCACTAATGGCCAGGTGGTCATGGACACACCCAGGCAGGGGACCCACTCAGGAGAGGCTGAGTCAGATCCATCAAGTCAGGAGGGGCCAGTGCTCTTGCTCCAAGACCAACTGGGACCTGAACCATAGCAGTACCTTGCAGTCAGAATAGGACAAATGGTGCCCATTGTCACTGTCCCCCAATGGCAGGTGGTGGCTGCTTCCCCACCAGTGCCTGTCCTCAGGGCAATACCGAGGTGGTGGGGGCTGAAATGAGCACTTGGAGGAGCATAGGGCTAGTCCGGCCTCAGGGACTTTAGCGAGGGGACCACAGCTACCCAAAAGGTTCCTGAGAGAGCCCACATCCGCATCCAGAGCTTGGTTGCCAAGGCAGCCTGTAAAAGAGCTGTCCACTCCAGTTTCTTCCAGTAAGTTGCCACTAAAGGCAATGGATCCAGCCGGGGACAGCACCTTCCTGAGGCCCCAGCACAGCTTTGGGAGTGGGGGAGCCCTCCAAGCGATGCTCCTCTATTAAAGGCAGTGGAGTGCCAGGTCAGGGAAAGCGGGTGCACTCTTCGGAGCTCCAGCTGGGATGGGATGTCAAGGGCAGGGAGGAGGGCTGCCATTCCGTGATGGGAAGGCTCTAAGGGGAAAATGAAGTTGCTGGCAACACCTGAGTCGCCGGACCCGAAGGTCTGGTGCCCTGGTGCTCACTCCGATCCGCAGGCCATCGGTAGTGCTTCCCCTACGGCAGGTCCCCGCTCGGCCTGTGTCCTCACCCGTGACGCGTGCAGCTGGGCCTAGCTCCCGGCTCCACTTTGGACACCCGTCAGCCCAAACCTGGAGCGCCCCCGAGGCGCAGGGGCCTGGGAGAGCAAGGCCCAGGGCCCAGGTCTCTCCTGCTGGCGACACCGCTGGCCCGGAGCG